AGCGAAATTCAGCATTTGGCGCAGCAAGTGAAGGGCATACGAGGTACAAGGAGAGACGGTGTAACAATTGAAATGATCAGACAAAGTGGTCAGAGGCGATGCAGAGGATTCTAGCAAATCAGTTCATTTACTGACGGGAAATATAGCATCGAACAGGACCGAGTGCAGAACAGATACAATGTTCAAGAATGGAGACGAGGAAGTTCTTAAGAACTATCGCTGAATCTTTTAGCTCTCACAAATCCACAAGCTGTTCGCTACGATAATCAGCAGCAGAATGTTATCGATTCGATCGCGAAAAACAGCAGCCAAGAGAACAAGCAGGTTTCCGAAGAAGCTACAGCGCAACTGTCAAAGTCTATACTCTACGATGACACGTCGATTTCCCGAGGCAATATCAGCTCCGTCTGAGGATTACCTTCCTCCACACGAGAATATATTCCACACTTTTATGTACAATTCAACGTTGAGTGCACTGGAAGAATATACCATCGGCACCCATTGCGTGAACCTGCTCAAGGAAGCGGACTCTGACTGCTTCACAAAAATCGCATTGTTCCATATTCCTTTCCGGATTTCCGTAGAGAAGCGAGGGAATCAAGAGGATACCATCTCTCCCAAACTCTTCACTGCCTTTGGGATGAATTGAAAGGATGGGATTAACACCATTGGTAAAATGTTCAGGCGTTTAAGGTTCTCTGATGATGCGATGCTGTTCTTGGAAACCGCCAGTCAGATACAAGACATGCAGAAAGAGAAAGAGCTCGACAGAGAAAATGCAGAAATCAGACTGAGAATGAATTCGCTAAAGATACTGCAATCAGATGCCCTGTCCAAGGTCAAGGTAATATGGAACTGCCAGAAGATCAAGAAAATCGAAAAATGCATTTACCGGGACTAAGAGATCCGTATACTACATAATGAGGTTGGAGAGGTTCAACGGAGAAAGAGGGCCGTTTGACGACAGTTTCGTTTTATCATGGACGTCTTCCTTCGGTAAGTTGAAAGCAGGATCCTACGTCTACATCTTCCAACCTACCGTGCTGCTGGCAGGGTTTCATGGCTGTGAGACGTGGTTACTCCCAAATGGCTACATCTGTTTGTCACCGAGATTGTCGTAAGGCGAAGGATGTTGCGAATCTCACCTCTCTTCCGCACCCCAGCTTGGAGGTCAGACG